CACGGAGCGAAGAGCAAGTAGCGAACGACCAACCGGTAAAGCACACAGAGACTCAAGTAAAAGGGAATGGGAATCTGAATTGATGAGATCGACGTTGCCTCATGAGCCGCCCGCAATTTTCCATTTATTTTTACTCTGATGGAATTTGGTCGAGCATAAAAACTAAACGGGATTCGACTTAAGTTTTATCCCTCTATTGAAATGCATTCTTCTAATTCGGAACTCCACTCTTCAAGATAAATACAATGAACCAAAACCAACGCAAGTGTTGAATGTTTTGTGTAATTAATTAAGGTTTTTAATTCATTGCGAATGTTACAGATCATTGTATTTGACTTCTTTTTCATGACCCTGAATGAACTCAAGGGAACGGGTCAAACTAAATTGACAGCAACTCAACATTGGCTGTATACTGGACCATTTGCCGAAGCATCGACAAGTGGTCGTTTACTTAAATGTAGATAACTGGAGAAAATAAATCACATCAAATAGACCGCGAATTTTACGAAAAAAATAAATTTAACAATTTTAAAATTTGCATGCTGAACAAGTCAACACCACCAATCTAGGAGGCCACTTAAATTGTTCATTGTTTGTGAGCTATAGAATCAAATTTAATTATTTAGATACGTCACTGATTAGAGACGAATTTTAATTCGTCTATATACCTATCGATAGTGGGAGAGACTAGATAGTGCTCAAAATCAATGACACTTTAAATAAGATGACACTAGTTCCTTCTTTTTTTTTTTTTTTTTTTTTTTTTTTTTTGCTAAAACGAGAATGTCAAGAATAGTTTCAGTTAGCTACTTGGTTATTAACAGAATTAAACGGCAACAGAGATAAGTGTCCGTTCGCGATCAGATTAGTAGTTGGCATGGTTGCCATCCAATCAGTGATCTACATTGCAAGCCTACAATGCGGGAAGAGAGGGACACCATACGATATGTAGGAGTAACCAGTAGTATGTAACCAGTATTATGTGGTATAACGTAACCAGTTACCAGTAACAATATAACAAATATATAGCCCTATTGCGCTTTCGGAAACGAAAAGATTCGTTGGACATCTATTGGAAAATGAGAATGCATCAATACGGGTATAATGACAATGCCTACAATTTTCTAACGAATCGTTTAAGGATTTTTCTGATAACAAGTGACTTAGCCACCAGCAAAACTGAAAAATAGCTTGTTCAAAAGAAAAGCGTGCCTATCGAGTATTTTCCTTTGACTTAGTAAAAGGATCGGCTCAGAGATTTCTGTCATGGTGGATGTTAAACAATTTTTTGAAAAATCGCTCATGACCACGAATTAATGGTGCCGCTTTTGATCAAACTTTTCGGCAAAAATATAGGCATTCATCGTAGGATCGACGTATAAGCTGCATTATTCAGTAATTCTGCAAAGTTCTTCATACTGTAAGAAAACCCAACAAATACTCGTGTTATTAGTTTCTACAAAACATTTTAGTGGCGCCTCCAAATCGTTCAGCTGCAAGGGATGCACCAAGCTCCAAAATCTGCACTGGAAAAAAAAACACATTGGATCTAGAGTCCAGATTCTTAAAAACATCGACAAGAAAAAATACTCTTGATTCAATCGTATTTTTGCTTAAATCAAGAACTAAGCCTCTTAATTTAAGAGGATTTCCTTTTGATTTAAGCTTAAATCTGATTGAATCAAGAGTATTTTTTCTTGTCAATGTTTTCAAGAGTCTGGACTCTAGATCCAATGTGTTTTTTTTTTCCAAAGTGAGTAACACAGTAAAGCTCATCAGTCGTTTCCATGAATAATGACTCAATCACTAAATTACAATATGCATATGATTTCTCAGACATCACACCATTTAATCACCCAGAGCTTGTTCATAATTTACAAGTTAATTCGTCGCTTGGCTGACATAAGGGCGTAACTACACATTGAGATGAGCCCAGAAAAGCATTGAAATATATGGAAAGCAGGGTTCATTACAGAGTGTAGTTACGTCCTTATGTCAGGTAGGCGACGAATTATGACGAGAGTCGAACCGTTTCCTCCCAGAATGCCGGCCATCACCCATGCAAACCTCCCGTTGGCCGTTTCAGCGATTCGCCAAAGCGAAAGGGGATCTTTCCTGGAGAATGGGTGGNGGGGGGGGGGGGGGGGGGGGGGGGGGGGGGGGGGTCGCGTCTCGCCGCCGGTGCGGGCAACGTCCACGCTGAGCCGTGACCTTCTTAGCGAGCATGCAACTTGGTGTTGGACCCCAGCCATGGCCATAAACAGACGTGCTTTCCCCTCTTCCGACTCCGGTCGTCGCGCCGACTTGGACGCCGCCGACGCCGCGCGCCGCTTCCTGACTCATCAATTCAGCCTCTTTTGGCTCCTTTTACCTCATCCCTCAAACCCTTCGCACTCGTCCAATTCAGGCTGGCAAAGCGGCAAACCGACAGGAACGCTCTTCGCGCATTGCGTGTCCACATTCCCAGACAATCAGATACAGTGGCGTGGCGTGAATTGCGATATATCGATTGTTGTGCCATTTAAACCCATGGTAAAGAATCGATTATTAAGGTGTTCGCTGCGAACACCCTGTTTATCGATCCTTTTCCATAGGTTTAAATGGCATAACAATCGATATATCGCAAAGCACGCCACGCCACTGTCACAGATACCCAGACTTTACCTTACGAATCTAATAATAAAGTTCCCTGTGTCCCAAACAGGACGATATATTTTATAATATTTTACTCATTGAGAGGTCATTGATTGGTTTCCTCCTGGGAGAAGACGCAGAGAGTGCCCAATGGAAGGTTGGAGGGAGGGGATTGAAGCGGAAATGTTAAGGTGCTCAATGCCTCAAGATTTGTGGTTTGAAAGAGAGCAGTGGAGGTTACGAGTCGTAGAGCGCGAGGGAGTGCTATAAAGCGACTTATATGTATGTAGGTATGTTAATCACTGAGCCCTATTCTGTCGTGCTAAGGAAAAACGCCGTACGAACATTGAAGAGTTGCCAAATTTCCTTCGGTTAAATGATTATTTTTGAGGAAAGTCATGAATATGTTTCTTTGAAATTTTCAGGAACTTCAGGTAAAATTGCGAAGAAAATTACCTGAAAAATTGGAAGAAAAATATGCATATATTCACCAAGAAATTCGAGTTTTATGAAAGGAAATTTGGCAACGTCTGGAGGCTCATACGGCGTTTTTCCTTAGCACGACAGTATTGTATCTTAGTGCAGATTCTCGAGTCTTTGTTGACCCCGTGTTGAAAAAGTTTACCTTTTTCTGCCACTGGTGCAGATTCCGTAACTCCTTGTGCACGCAAGTAGAAAATAGGAAAAATTAACAGATATCTGTTTAGCTTGCAAAATGGGGCATTAGACAATGTATGAATGTTTCTGTCGTTAAATTTCTCAGCTGCGCAAACCCTGAGACACTTGTGATCTTTGATTAGGTACCTGGTGCACTCATATAACTTAATGAGAAAATCCCAATAAGAGCTTGGCAGCCAAGGATTCGCGAAATTCTAAAGTTAGATCGTAGAGTGCGTCCCTGCTCTCATCTAGGTCGCAAGCGAGAACGCTCTTCTTGATTTCGGACGTGTAGCCGTTTTCCCCCCGAAAATGTTGAGACCACAGACCAAAAGACATTTTATATGAAAATAATCATATTTTAATTGAAAGACAGCTCTCTCGGTTTCAAGAGTTAAAATAAATCTTGATTAAAAATTTACTCACTCTCAACTTCTAAAATTAATCAAATTTAAATGTTAAAGGGTTTTGCAAATATATTTAAAACAACCAAAAAAAATTTGGATACCAAATCTTTTGGTGCAAAAGGAGAAAGGAAAGGAATAGAAAGGAAATGAAGAAGAAGAAGAAGAAGAAGAAGAAGAATAAAATCAGACATTTGAACATTTAAATGGACAGAATTCGGCACCCGTGTCGCTTCGCTGATTCAACCTTATTTGGCAAAAAGTCAGAGATGTTCAGTGAATTGGAGTGACCCACTTAGCGGCCTCATGTTCACACGTAGCGGAGGCTACCTGCGGGCGAATCCTCCTCAAACAAGGCAGATAAGTTAATGAGCTGTTTTAGCTCGTTTATCCGGACAAATTGACGACATGCTAGAATCACCTACCGATAATAAACACGAATGACTTGTCATCTTCAGATTTTGTTTTCGCCCTCTATTGAGTAGATTAACCCATTGACAGCCAGCGCGGCAGCACATCTGAGGAGGTCATAACATGGTATTTGCAAGCATGAATACGGATCTAGAGGCTAAGGTGTGGTCACGCAATCACATTATTTGTGAGAGGAATGTGTTGAACTTTGCGGTTGACGTTGCATATTCTCTTGCAGAGTCAGAGGCCGGAGGCTGCTTGCCAATATTTCGCCCGCTTAACACATTGTTTGTGCTCAAGATAAGAAATTATTGATAAATGGTTATCACACTGAGTGCCTGGTCAATAATTCGTTGATTCAGTCAGCAAATCGAGAAATTCGGATTTGGAATTGACGTGAATGACTCAGTTGAGTTAGTTGTCCAAAAATACAGGGTAGTCAACTCGAGTGTTGACGAGGAGGAGTTAAAAATCTTTCCAAAACCGCAATGATGCAATGCCGCATCCGAGATTTCAACTGTCCATGCTAAAGTTTTGAGTGCACAAAGGAGCAATAGAAAATGACTTCCGTCGGTGCTCATCACGGAGGAATGTAATTTCCGAACAACAATTGAAGTTTATCATGCATGATGTTTTTTTAATTTTTTAAACTGCCAATAAACGACTAAACGCATGCACCCAAACGTCTGAAGTTAGTAACGGTGAGATAAACTACCATTGAATAACCTCTCTCAAAGCGGAAAGATCGTCAATTTAGAATTTCACACATGAATTATTTTCTTTAAAAAACGCAAGGCGTCAAAACTTTTCAGTCATTATTTCCGCTCAACTTTTTTTGTGTGTTTCAAGGTATAAAAACTAATTCGTTTTGTGTATTTTTCTCTCTTGTTTCAGAAGTCCACCCAGCATAAATGATATACTGAGACGATGCACTTGAAAAGACTGGTTAGGTTCGGACGAATCTATGAAATCTACTCGAAACATCTACACCTACTATTACTAATAATACTAGGCCTCATAAATGCTAGTTATAGTATATCTATGTCAACAATATTAGAAAGACTTGACACATTTGCTCAACGTAGATTTTCAAATTCCACAAGTAGTGGGAACCCATTGTGGAACGAACTGATAGATCGATGCGGGAGCACGACGTCCTTCTCCTGCGTTCAAAGTAGTATATTTAATTACCTAGACTCGAGAATACTGAGCTCTAATTTTTTCATCACCGACGGTATATACTTTGTTAGGAACTCAAACAAATATGGCGACCTCCTCGGTCCCCACCACCCTACCACCTCGCAATTTTATAGTGTTAATAGTAGTCTTAGTTTGTACAATAAATCGTCTCTACTTAGTCCGAAATCTAGTACCGCCAACCAGCTAACGACGAGTCCGTTCGTCGTGACGCCAAGCAATGTAGATAGTTATTTAGAATCGATACCAAAAACTAGTGTGTTAAGTAATACGACTGTAGGAGACTCAAACGAAAGGGTAGAAAAACAAGCGGGTGACTTGAACGCGGGTGTAGAAAAGCAGGGGAGCACCGAACCTCTTCCGGATGTTGAATCGACGACGTTGCCCACGAATTTTGAGGAGGAAGAGAAGGAGGAGGAGGAGGAGGCAGACACATCATTCGGGGAGTTTGTCGATTCAGTTGAGGAGGCGGAGAACACGATAGGAGGAGAGAAGAGCCACAGAGAAGACCGATCTTTCACGCCTGACGGAGAGTCACATCGATCAATCCACGACCTGAGTGATGTTCTTTACGAGAAGGGTTTGAGCTACTTGATGACGCATGATCTGCAAGTGCATCTCCCTCAGATGATGTTTGGAGGAGGTCGCGTCAAGATCTCGCCGAAAGGCTTTGATGAGGACGGAGGGGCCATCATCAAGCTCAACATCGACCCTGATCCAGAACAGCCTGCTGAGGGCCGAATCTTCAAGAAATTTATCCGTAAGTAATTTTTTTGATAGTGTAAGCTTTTTTCACGACTACTCTGAAATTTATTTAGCTCCCTTAAATTTATTATGGTCGACCAATCTTTTTCAACCCGAACCAAACGAGACAGTAACTCTGTACATGAAAAAAAAAACAAGGGAGAAAAACGGGGAACAAGGCTAAAAATACAACACTATAACGCGAGACGTTTCGAACTTGCGACTCAAAACGTCACGCGTTTTTAGTGTTGTATTTTTAGCTTTGTCTCTTGTTCGTGTTAAATTTACAAACTGAGAGCAGTTACAATGTTGGTAAAATATTTAGACCCAAGTATCTTATTCAGTAATGTAAGCATTTAGTAATCTCGTGTTTCCTTGAGCGAGAATATTTGAACAGTACTATAGAACAAAATAAAGTGTTGGAATCATATAGATTTCTAAAATTGAAGAAGCGTGTCGGATCTCTTTTGCGATGTTTCAAAGCCTCCGAATACATTTTATTTTACTTTAAAAAAAACCAAGCATAATATCTCTTTGAATTTTTATGTGAATATATTTGAAAAAACGAAACCTTACAGAAGATCTCAAGAATAACTGCTCGTCACTTCTTTTTAAAAGTACAACTCGAGCGGGGCTAGATTTGCAGCGTCGCAATCGGAGCTACGCATTTTCGCATTTTCATCGTTGATACGGTTTTCTCTCGCCTTTTTTCATTCCAATTTTCAATAATCAACCCGGTGGTTAGTTCATTTATAAACGGGGCAAGAGACTCCGTCAAGATCTTGACATTGAGTTTGACAACGACCCTGACACTGACCGACTTTCATAAATGTTTGATAAACCCAAGAAGACTGACAACGTGTGGCAATATCACAGAACAGGAGCATCGGCGATAATGAACGTGACATTGACATTGACCGTGGCGTCGACATTGACATTGGAGCTTTATCCTCGCCCTCGCCCTTGCCCTTGCCATTGAGCTCACGGTCGATTTTTACACACGTGAGACGGTCACGTTTCGCGGATTTGTCGAGTGCCAATATTCTTGGGAGACTTGTCGGGTTGAAGAAACTTTTAGTCCAAGACCAGAGGTCAGCATGATCTCGCCTCCGCACAGATGCCGCTTCTCATCGGTATTGCCCAGAGACAAGAGACCCTCCACTCGTACCGATCGGCTATGGTGGAAGCTTTTACTTTTGGGACTTTAACATTTAACTGTTGATCTACCTACTTGGTTGATGGTTAACACCGAGTGGGCAGTTTCGTTTTGCAAACAAGCCGACTTGGGAAACTTGTTTGGCTTATGACGTCACCCGAAGCTCTTCATCCAGGTAGGTCAACAGCCGGAAACCTAGTGATGACCGTTGCTCCCTTTCTAATTGGATTGCATTTTACAAAAAGGAACCAGAAGCATTGCCATGTTGCTAAGATTGTGCCGCTCCACCCTTTGCGATAAAATTACTGTAATCATGCAAAAATATGAAATTTACATGGTAATTTTGGTCTTAGATTTACAGATTTTAGCGTGTGAAATAGAAAATGTTTATAGATGACCAGGTTTTTCTTCCAAGACAAGAGAAGTTGCACAATCTTAGCAACATTGCAATGCTCTTGGTTCCTTTTTGCAAAATTCAGTCCAATTTTCAATAAGGAAGTGTTGAATCCCCGAAAGTAAAAGCCTCCACCTATCGCCAAGAGGCCAGTGGAGGGTCTCTTGTCTCTCTGGTATTATACCTCAACACCCAGGAAACTTAATGCCGGAGGGAGGCTTCGGGACATTGGCGTTTTATCGTGGGCACGGAGTGAGTTAGAGTGCTTCATTAGAGATTAGGGACACTAGGACCTACGAGGAGCCTTTAGGCACAAAAAAATGGAGGCAATCTTGGATAGGATGCGGTCGCCAATTTTTAACGATTAGGGGTGTCGTTAGCTAAGTTGGCACTTGTTTACATTCCTTTTGCAAGCGAACGCGATGCAGTCGTCCCAAAGTGATCGAGGATTGGCTACGCTCACCATCGGTCGCGGTCAACCGTGGATCGCTATTGGACGATTGCATCGCCATCGCTTGCAAGCGGAATGTAAACAAATGCCAAATGAGCTGACGACGCGCGGCGCCTTTGTCATCTACTGTAGTTGCTGAAACAACAGACATTCAAATCATTTAATTAATGTGATTACTACATCCGTCATGTTTCGGCCCCTAGGCAGCTCCACGGCTGACTCAATTAAATTACAAATGGATCCCGCTCCGTATATCATCAATGATTCCATGAAAAAGTGACAAAAATAATGTAATTTAAGTATCGAATGAAAGTGGTCAGCACGGCGAGTTCTGATCAAAATTTTATTTGGACCGCGTTTAACAGAAAGGAACCACATCAGTTATGGCCAAATTTAACCGGGCTTTTTAATTTTTTACGAGAGAGGGATTGTGCGGATTCGTTAGGATATTTTGAGAAATTTGCTTCGTACAATGGAGAAAATTCACTGAAACCTCGAAAATCTGCACAACCGTTTTCTTGTAAAATATTAAATTGCCCAGTTAAATTTGGCAATTGCTGATGTGACTTGGTTCCTTTCTATTTAACGTGGTCCATCTAAACGTATTTGTGGAACGGTCATCGGAACTCAGCACTACCTGGAAACCCCCGCGTTGATGAAGAGTTTTGTAATAAAAACTAGAAACATTTACAATGTTGCAGTTTTATTCTGGCATGATAAGACAGAAATAGAAGACTGTCAAAACTTTAGAGAGGCAAACTGTACCTTATAGTCGCCAACAGCCAATGAGAAAATGAACGGCAATTTTAAAAATGGTATTTTTTTTTTTTTTTGGAAATTTTAGTTTAATTATCTCAATTCCTGCTACCATGTTTTTTTGTTTGCTTTCACTTTCTATTTTTTTAGAACGCTTGAATGCACATCTCACACCACCCACAGGTTATGACTGTCTCACGCGTCCCTTTTTAATAGTACATATAGGTTCCAGTGTTTTAAACTCTTTTAATAAGAATGAAAGTAATACATTCGAGCTTTCGGTAGCCCACCCACAAACTAGTGGTCATTAGTCATGCATCATCCTCCTTATTATCAATTCGCTTTCAATTAAGGCGCGGGCTACTTCACAGTAGTGACCGCGACGAATTCAAAAGACGGCGCTCAGCTTCCAACGCAATGCTGCCAAAGTCGTATATCAACAGGATTTGCCTGCTATTAAACTGGCGGGCCCTCCAAAATTTTAATGCGAGGATTGCAACTACGGCAAGTGCTGATAAACGTGGTGAGTCTCCAGTTGAATGAAGAATAAAAGTTTCATGGCCCGTAAATAGTATAAAAAAGGAGCGTAATTCAATGAGAGTGGTCGTAAATGTGGCGAGGAGAAAATACGATTCCCAAAAGATGCTCGCGTGGAAGAGGGGCCGAGAGCAGAAAGTTTTGAACTAGGAGGATATGAGATGCTTGAAAGAACCGCATTGCCAAAATTGAGGGAAAAATCGAAGATTTTCTGAAGCCGGGACTGATGTGTTTGGACTTTAGTTCACAAGCTTAATGTGATTCATTGTGATCTATAGGGACGAAGATTCACCACTACATAGCGCTGCTATGGGGTTTGTGTCTTTGAGAGGCAATAATTATCGTTGCATACGCAATTTAACACGAGAAACTGATCCATAATGTGTAGCAGCATTAATACTGAGTAGAATGACAGCAAATTTGTTAAGATTCATTGTAAATTTATACCTGAGACTACGATAACGGACGTCCTCCATCATTGACTCATTGTGTAAAAGAGAGTCATTATATCGCTATCTCTCTCTTACACATTGAGTCAATGGACGAAGTCCGGGATCGTAGTTTCAGGTATAAATTTACAATGAATCTTCACAAATTTGATGTCATTCTACTCAATATTAATGCTGCTACACGTTATGGATCAGTTTCTTGCGTTAACTTATACGCAACGTTAATTATTGCTTCTCAAAGACACAAACCGCAGAGCAGCGCAGCGTAGTGGCAACTATCGTCCCTAGATCGCATAGAATCACCTGAAGTACCAGCAGATCTACGCATTACAATTATGCAGATAATATAATGACGTGGCTAAAAACTCCCTTCGGCCAGCTTAGAATTCCTCATGATAGAGAGGACGATTTGATTTTAGCTTTTTTCAACGCAGTGGAAGAAAGCAGCAATGTACGCCAGCTCTTTCATCCCCGTAGCTCTCGCAAAGATGAAGAAAGGGGGAAATGAGCTTCTTTACGAAAATCTCACAGAAAATAATAAAAAGAGACGAGGCTTTCACGTCATTCAAATTCTTGCGGAGACCTTTTACATCCTCTACCTCGCGGTAGGAGCATGGCTACCTGATGCCTCTTCTGAAGCTCAATGCCCGCGACCACGACAACTTTAGAGCCTCTTTGACATACACTAAAAAGTCATGCGAAGTCGTAAGAGGTACATCCATCCAACTTTTATGAGAGTTATTTTGTATTTCATGCGTCTCCGCAAGCGTTATAGGGTAGTAAAGACTTTTTGACCCATTATATAAACAAACAATTAACTTGCCATCCGGATAAGTGAATCGAGATTTCCAAAAATGACGTTTGGCAGTTTTACTGATTTTTGACCCCCTCCTTCCATGTTTTCCTCCTAGCTACTGGAATTCATTTGTGGACGACCTTATGTGTCTATTGAAAAAAATTAATAAACTCGAAATATTTTCGAAATTCACTTGAAAGTTCTCATTAGTTTTCAGACTGGGATAAGTCATTCTTTTTCTGAAGAGGATGCTTCAAATATTATAAAAGTTTCCAGTCTCGGAAACGACCCCTGATAGGCTGAAAATCGAGCATATGAACCGGCAACGGCCATGTGCGCCACGAGTGGGCATCGGGCAGTTGGGCACTAGGCAAGTGGGCTATCAAGGTCGGCGATGAATGATCAGTGGGTCAGTGGACTATTCACAAACAGTCAAACCGGTCCGCATACTTGCAAGAAAGGAAACGGCCGCTACTA